CCTAAAAGATTCTTAGCCTAGCCCTAAAACCCCCTCTCAAGATTTAGAATTTTTGTCTATTCATATGAACAAAGTTACCACAGCCCCAATCCTATAAAGAATATCTTAACTTTAAACCCGTTTTGGTGGACAGTTACGAATAAAGACAATACTATTTTTGTTTTTAAGTGTAGTACTTGTCAAATTGTCAAAATCGATCATCAAAGACCGTCAGATTCTTTACAGTCACTATCTATATCGGAGTGGAAATGAAAGAGTATTTCTATAGATTTTGTAGAGGAATTGTCTAATTCATTTAAGGATCACAATTTTATTTGGCTCATCGTTAATACATTGACCAAATTAATTAATTTCTTAAGAATTGGACTGTAGGAAATTTTAAATAACTTGTATGTGGTTTAAGGAAAGATCCTTAGCTACTTGGTGCACCCGGGTGTGATGTTAGGTACGGTTGCATTCCAACCTTAACATGATATTTACCTCTGTGTCTCAAAATATGGCTAGTAAGTTAGGGAATTCAAGAATGAAAATATCACATAAGAAATCAATATATATATATATTATATAAAGGGTCTCTAAATTCTCTTTGTACAAAATCTTAACAGTTGTATTCTAAATGAGAAATCTTAAACTTTTCTAATGTTCATGCATGATGATTTTGATTAAACAACTAGTGGGTAGCAATGAACTCCTTTTCTTTTTCATAAATTAAAGAGGGTGAAAGCAACATATTGTGGGTCCCCTATGACAATACCTTTGGCATTTAGTATTCTCCAAGTGGACCACCCACACCAAACAGCAAGGAGGAGTATTCTTGGGGTTCTTGTGTGTGGATGGTTCTCCTTCTTTACCTTATATGACCCTATATTCAAGGCACACCTCAAAGAGTGCCAATTTTTAAGATGCATTTTTGTGCCTATGGCTTTTTGTTACATATATTTATTCATGTGTTAGCGTGCCTGCCCTCGCGTTAATTAGCGATTGACCTAAGATCATATAATAATTTCTCAAAAAATAAATCTCATAAAACATCAATTAGATTTTTTTATATATAAGTTGGTACTCACACACCCCCTCAAGAAATTGTTTACACCCAAAAAGATTTGAACCCTAAATCTGATATTTTATGAGATATCAAGGGCAAGTTCTTATTCATTTGAGTCAACCCCTTGGGGTTAACATTAACTAGGTTTGGATTTGCTAACAAATTTTTTCCCCCTGGCAAACAACACTCGTGCACGACTTGTCCTTATGGGAACTCGAATTCTCAACCTTTAACTTTGAAACATAAGAAAATATCACTAGACTACGACCTTAGGTGAATTTGCTAACAATTAGGTTACTAATATCTGACCAAAATCTTGGTGAAATTTAGAGGGGTTCCTTATCCTTCCTAAGTTGGACTAATTTGCCACCTCCAAGCCAAATGGATGAAGAAATTCATGGATCAAGCAACAATTACGTAACATGACAGAAAAATAAACTCACCACAGAAAGAATATAAAGATTTATATTTAGTTCAGCAAAGCCTATTTCTACGATAGAGATCCGACGAAAGTCTTCACTATGTGTAAAATCGGAGATTACAAGTTTTAGACCATTACTTTCTCTATGTACGATTTTTAGTATCTATTGATCATCACACTATAAACTCTAAGTGCCCTTATATATCAGGCTACAAAAGAATACTAAGTATGATCTACGACCCATGAACAAAAACGGGTCAAAATCGTCGGGTCGTAAACAAGTTGCAACGCAACCTTGGACCAAATTCAGGTCAAAGCATCACACCTATGTATTAGGGAATTTTGAGACTAGTGTCAAATTTGAGACATCTCCATCAAGGTTAAATATCTATGCATGATTTAACAACAATGATATGATGATGATGCCTACACTACGGCAAACGTCGAACGCTTCATGACCAGAATTTGGATAACAATCTAAATCAAATTTATAGTATGATTTTAAAAGCAATGATAATGTTGATGTTGATTACTTTATGGCCATGACAAACAATCTTAATCCAAATTTATCCATTAACAGAGATATTGGCTACTTTATGGCAAACTCATTTCCATGACCAGGAATTCCAAGCCAAAACAAGCCGTATATCATTACAAATATTATTCATTGAGTGATCCATGAAAGGTCCATATACTAAACCATTGTGATTAGTGGTCTACATTTTATTTTATGTTAATTTTTTCCTCTTTTGTTGAGATGTATCCCCACCTCAAGTCTTCGCCACACACGTAATTCCTCACGCACTATTGAAATGCTTGATATTCATTGAATTATACGTATTTCGAGAAATTATTACCAGGTTCGGGACTATATAATTTTGGCCGATCACAACATGACAAACAAACAAAATTCTAAATAAATGTTTTGGCCGATCACAACATGACAAACAAACAAAATTCTACACATTTATTTACGTATCGAATTATGATAGACTAGTATCATATAATAATTTTTCAATTTATTTCAACGGGCAGAGGGAGAATCAATGAAGACCTGGAACTTTCCTTGAGTACATGTTTGACTTTAAGGCTTTGTTTGGTACGGTGGGTTTGAAGGGGAAGGATAACATTAGTTATGAGGGAAAGGGAAGGGAATGAAAAGGAAGGATAATTTTAAACCTCCATTGCGTTTGGCTGATTAATGAAGGAAAAGAAAGGAAAGGACAATAATTATGTTTGGGAAAAGAAAGGAAAAGAAATAGAAGGGAATTATTTTAACATATGGACTATTATACCCCTTTATATATATATATATATATATATATATATATATATATATATATAGTTTCATGTACTTGCCAAAAAAAAATAATAATAATAAATAAATAAATAAATAAAAATTAGGGCAAATCATTTCAGCCTCCCTAATCCTCCATCTCTATTATATATATATATATATATATATATATATAAAGTCTTTAACTTGAGGCCATAAGAAAAGAAAAATAAAAAAATAAGGCAAAGCCTCCCCAATCTCGCTCCATCTCTGCAACTCCTTCTCAACACTGAACTTTGCCTCTCTCTCTCTCTCTCTCTCTCTCTACAAGAATCAGAAATTCAAAACCCATATATTTCCAGTTTATCTATCTGTTTGCAAGAATCAAAAGTTCAAACCCGTATCGATGTATCATTTCAGATTGTTCAGAAAATCCAAAACCCATATCCTTCAATTTCCATGGCTACTGTTCCAGTTCGGGTCACCGTTCCAAGCTTCAATCACCGGCGGTCTCTCTCTCTCTAAGCAATCTTGAGGGTAAAATTGGCATCTGAAATCACCCATCAACCCTCTCCTTCCCTTTCCCTTCATTTCCTCCCATTTTTGGGAGGTTAAGAAATCTACTGTTGAAGGCACAAGCTAACCCTCCAAACCCTTCCCTTCACTTCCCTTTCCTTCCAACAATTTTTGCCAAACACACATTTTTAATCCCCCTCCATCACCTTCCCTTCCCTTTCCTCCCTTTTCTACTCTACCAAACTGACTCTAAAATAAATGGCATCTTTCATTCACTTTATCAGATGGAGTATGGAAGGACATTTTACTACAATTTTTACATCAACTTCTTTTTCCTGACAAGTTTTTGTAGTAATCTGACAGAATCATCTTATTATATTGGCACCATAAAGGTAATTTAATATGTAGAAATAGTTTATTTATCTTACACCACATCATCAACTTCAATAGTTTTCTTTAATATTGACATCCAAAGTCTGAGAAATAACATTATAGGGGGCAATTAAAGTTACTCTTTCTTGCCAAGGCCTAGTCTTCACGGCTTCTCTATATTTTCAAATTTACCCAATGTTGAATGTTACCCCTAATTTGGCCCCATTTGAGTCCTCCCACTTTGCTCCTCTTGCATTTAAACTTGATCATATAATTTGGGAAATTAAGGGTATGCTTAGTTCAGTTTTATGAGAATAATTTTATGTTCTTTGAGAATTGAAAAAAAGAAAAATATACAAATATATGTTTGATTGATGGTGCTTGTTACTATCTTTTATAGTCCTCTAAAAACAATTTTATGTTTTCTAAAGCTTCGTTTGGATGCATAGGAGAGAAAAGGAAAAAATAACATTAGTTATGAAAAAAAAAAAAAAAAAAAAAAAGATAGCAATAATCTCTATTCATATTTAAATAGATTAAAAAAAAAAAAAAAAAAAAAAAAAAAACGATAACAACCAAATTACTATCATGACCTTTTATTTAAATGAGACACGAATAGAATAAGAATTTCCACATTCTAATTGTTAAAGGTAATTTTGGAAATATAAAATACTACTTCAACCACTATCCTTTCATTTCAGTCATTTTAAAAAACTCTAAACACAATCTGCATTATCATTGCCTTTCTTTTCCATCACTATCCCTCCGTCCAAGACAAACCTAGCAAGCCTTGACCTTTTCAAAGCAAGAGGAGGTGGTTGCCCTGTACTAATCAAAATAGAATCACATCAATATGTAGAATCACATCAATACTGGAGTGGCAAGTCATCTCTACTCAGTCTGAAGTGAAATGATTCTAGGGCATCTTATCCACTGGGAGTTTTGAACGTAGACAAGAAAGGAGAATCTCACTCACTCACTCCAGAAAAGGACATGATAGGTTACACCAATAAGGCATATTTATCAGCACCAACAAAAGGCCTCTTTGTGGTATATAAAGAAATGTAGTAAAAACAAATGAGCCAATAGAAGTAATTTCACTTTTTCCTAAAATTTCAATGACCCAACAATCTGTTTAAGCTATAACGTATAAGAGGGCATGTTACTAATTACATTCTCATCCTATTTTCAAATCCAGCTTAAGCCCAAATGGAAGGGGTGGGTGTGTGTGTCGGTGTGTGTGTGTAGTGTGTGTGTGTGTGTGTGACTCAGTCAAGTAAACAGATCATCTTGTACATAATCTGCTTCAGAATCCCACTGGGAGAAATATTGGCACAACCTCAACAAAGTTCATAAATCAAAAATAGTCATACACCAACTAACAAAATCAGTTTATTCTACATATCTTATTTGGTTCACAGCATACCCAATAAAATGGAAGATTGTTTCCAAAAATTTGAATATGCAGATGTAGGAATCATAACTTGTACAGCAAATATCACAACTGTATAGGAAAATCAGTGAACTTGCTTCATTGCTGCTTCAACTCCATACCACCCATTGGATTTACAATAAAACTAAATAAATAAATGGTCTAAATAATCCGGTAACTGAAGATACTACTTTTTACTGCTTTAGCATGTAATAATAATACGATAAACATGGAAAAAGACCAATATATGCTAGTACTTCCCACAAATAACTACAAGAAAGGGTTGGCGAAACATGATTTTATAACACCACCTTATAACTCAAGTGACACGCAGAATCATACGGACGGGAAATATTTGTTTAGCTTGAAGGGCAGAGAATAGAATTCCTCACTTCTTGTATCAGTCTTAAATGACTTGAATTTGTCCCACCAATGCTTACCCCTGTCTTTCCTTATTGAACTTTCCTTCTTGTGCAGTGTGTTGTCCAGGAAAAATGCAATGATGGCCGCGACAAATGCTTCCGACGAGAAAGGGACATTAACTATATCATTGAACTGCCCAGTAAGAAAAACAAATGACATTTCTGTCAGTGGTGGAGCTCACGGACATGACATGATTTTACCACAAATTTAAAAGAGTAATGGAATGAAAGATTTTAGCACTAACTTTAAAGAGTAAAGAAAAGAGAGATTTAGGGGGTTGATGAATTTTAATGCATACCCATCGCCCGCTGGTGTGAACGGGACCATATCCTTGAATTGCCGTGTACTCATTGAAGTACTGGGGTATGGACAAGCCCATAAAGATAGAGAAGCCTAATATAAATTTTGTTCGGAAGCTGTTGAGATTGCAGAACTGAAGGAAACTCAAGCCCACCGAACCTGCATGTTCATGAGAAAAAATGTATCATTAAATCGATACATGTATCAGAGGTTAAGATTCCTTGTACGAGCTAGTTGCACACTACACTTACCCACGTAAGCAAAGAATAGGCAATACAACGCAGCAACGATTGGTGCTGGAATTGAAGCAAAGACTGCTCCAAATTTACCTGAGCAATTATATAGATTTGATTATAGTTTGGAACATAATTTTCTTTTGGCTAAACAAACTTAATGGTCACAAAGAAGTGACCAATCAGATAGAAAATTAGTAATTCACAAGCATTCAAACCTCTCACACAAATAGCTTACCAAGAATGGAAAAGAAAATCATGAACCCAGCAGATATTTGCACCACCCTTCGACTGCCAACACGTGTTAATGCCAAAAGACCAGCATTTTCACTGCAGGGAAACCAAATTTATTAGTCCTTGAGTCATTAAGAAAGTCCTGTTTCAAACTTTCAGTTAATATAAATATAAGGCTAACAAAGCTGAAAGATACTCATAGAAAGTCTTACATAGATACCGATGCTCCGGTCGCAGTTCCAAACAAACCACACAAAAAAATGCCAATTCCCTGAGAACATAGATAACCATATTAATATACAACTGAAATTTGATTCTCATACGCACAAAAAGTAGAGAAACTTGGTCCACATAGGTATATCATCCAATGGACAACTTAAGGCTAGACCCTTACCTTCCTCGACAAGCCCCAGCAACCCGAAGGCCCAAACCCACAAAAGAGTGGATGAAAGCCCAAGGGAGGGAGAGAGTATTAAGAAAATCCCTATTGTTTTAAAACATATTTTACAACCATATTTTTCAATCAAGGTTTTTTTTTTTCCAACCACAGTTCTTTCTTGTCATACAGTTGTTAGGTCAAGATTATCCCACAGATTGGATGGTTTAACTCACATTAGAGTCTCCTGAATCTTTCCATTCACAGCGTATCTTTGTTTCTCTCTCTCCTTTGTGTGTGTGTGTGTGTGTGTGTGTGTGTGTGTGTGACAACTAAATGCTCATCAAAGAGTGTGCTTTGGAATCAAGCACTATTACAGAGGATGAATGCTTTCACCATTTGTAATCCATGTACATATAAATACACCTTTAGTAGCAATTTCATATCCATTTAATATTCTCACTTTTTATTTTTTGTGTCTGTCATGTATGTTTTTACATTAAGAAAAGCTCTAAGAAGCACGGAAACGGATATGGGACACAAATACGACATGATACGTACACGGCGACACGGCAAATCCTAAAAAATTAGGACACAAACATGGCGGGGACACGGCGAATAATCTATATATATATATATATATATATATATATATATATATATATATATATGATGTTGTACTTTAAGAAATTAAGAGTAATATTATCTTTTATCAACCTACTAATGAAAAAAAAATTTGTGTTTTGTTGGGAAAAAATAACAAAGAAAGAAAGAGGATTAGGGTATTGTTAGAAAAAGTAATAAGGATTAGATGAAAATAAAGGTAAGAATCCATAGAAGAGAAGAAATTCATGGAAACGACGAAAAATATTGTTGGCACAGGAAAAAAGAAGTATCAAGGTTTGTGAAGAAAGAAAATAAGAAGAGGAGGAGATAGCCAAAGGTAACGTGCAAGAGTTTGAATCTTTGAACTAAAATATAAGCCTAAATATATGATTATTTTAATATAATTTTATTTTATAAAAAACAACTTTTAAGTAATTATGTAACGACTACTATATTATGGAAAGTTATTAAACAATTCCTCATATTTACCTATATTATGGGAAGTTATTAAACAATACCTCATTTTTACACTTCAACACGACTTTCTTAAAAATGTCCGAGAATGCACTTATCAAAAAAAAAAAAAAACCCAAGAATGCGACAGGCGTGTCGGACATGTATCCATGGCGTGTCCACGACGTGTCCAAATATTCAAAAAAATTAAAAAAAATTAAACACGTATTTTAGCGTGTCCAACATGTGTCGAGGCGTGTCTAGCGCGTGTCCGTATCCGACATATGTCCAACATGGATTCTTTGCCATTTTAAGTGTGTCCATGCTTCCTAGGTGGAGAACAAAAGAGAATAAAAAATGATCATGCAAGAGTTTGTACCTTTGAACTAAAATATAAGCACAACTATCTGATTGTTTAATATAAAATTCTTTTTATAAAATGACAACTTTTAGGTAATTATTTAATGACCATCATTTTATTGAAAGCTATTAAGCAACTCCCTATATTTTATATTTCAACCTAGATTTCTTTCTAAAACTTTCTTAAAATCCCCAAGTGCCTTACTTTGAAAAAAAAAAAAAAATCCCCAAGAATGGGACACGTGTGTTGCACACATCCATGGCGTGTCCGATGCATGTCCACGGTGCGTCCGTGCCGTGTCCGAATATGCAAAAAAAAAAAAAAAAAAAAAAAAAAGACACTTTTTTGGCATGTCCGACATGTATCAGGCTTGTCCGTGCTTCCTAGTTGGAAACTTAAGAAGTTATAAGGAAGTGAATCAAATGATCTCACAACATGAAGAAAACAACCAATTTCAACCAAGACTTGTAACTATGTATTCTTAAGTTAAATCATACTGCTAAAAAACAATGCATTTGGTTTACCTGCCAACCAACACCACGGCTGAGAATAGAAGGTGGCAATGGGGTTGCACTTGCATATCTTGCAACCGCAATGAAGCCACCAGTGGACTGCATATATTATTAAAAAATGTAAGAAACAATCTATTTATGAAGCAATGAAAATTTAGTGTGAATTTAAGTATTAGGTACAATAGATATGACCACTCATAACACCCAATTAGATGCAAGTACGCTCGCAAGTAAACAAGTATAATTGACCATTCAACTTTTAATATGGCGTCTTTAAGTTGCACTAGTGAAAAATGGTTCAGTTACCCCAACAAGAAGTCATTGACAAATAATCAGAATAAAAAAAGAAAAACAAAATAGTAGGAAATATAGGCTGCGGTAGATTTATTCCATAAGTGATGATAATGCTGATAATATAACAGCAACCACGATCATACCTATCAATACATAAATAAATATATACATAGTCACAACCACCGGAACCACAAGAATGACAAAGCACTTCAATCTTTAGTTCAGTTGGACTCAGAGGAAAACAAACCTCTACAAGAGCAACAAATGAAGCCATCATCATGGCAAAGGCTTCGCCAGCATCAAATGAAGGTGCTCCCCATTCAAAGGGATATGGAACTCTTATCCTGCAAATGCAAACCCACATAATATATGAAGTGATCGTTAGAATAATTGATATAAATCACATTCTTGTTCCAAAATTACTAGTTACACCTCACTTATCAAAAAAAAAAAAAAAAATTACTTGTTACACCCCAATTCAATGTTTAGTTCAGTCCTATATATACACATCAAAAAAAAAAAAATTAAAGTTCAGTGCTATATAAAGAAGGAAGAATTCAGGGAGCAGACACATGATGAACACCACCATTTAAAAGAAAGAAAGAATTCCAGCCAAACTTGACAAAATTAAAATGTATTGCTTCACAAGCTCTCTTGCATTTGGACTGTATTCTAGACAACCCACATAGCAGTGGTCTGCAAATTCAGAGCTTTCCCAAATGAAAATATGGACAACCAAAGCTCAAAAAACCAATATATATATGTTCACAATTTGTTTCATATCCTCACTATTAGACATGAAAACACTGAGCTCATTCGCTATTACTTCAAAAACAACAGAAGAGCATGATATAATGGCAAAGTTTAGCAATGTTCAACGGAAAAGAAAAAAAAAAAAAGAAAAAAGTACAGCACCTCCAGTCACTTTGATCTCAAACATACTCGAGTATGGGATAATCATCACTTTATATGTAACAACAGAGAAATGCTCAAGTAATTAGTAACAGGAACAGAAGTTGCTTTACCAAGGAGCAGCATCAATAAGTCCAGCACGATCAGTACGGCAGCTTGTTTGTGTTTTTGGTGGCTTATCATTATAGGCCCCACCAACAGTGAGTAGGTGTGCATAAATCCATACAATCACCACCGAAAATATAACAGCAAAACGATCAAAGATGTTCTTTCCTGAGTGTATAAAATGGGATAAATACTGCCAACAAGCAATGACATAAATTGATTCAGTCGACAAAAATATTTCCAAGATAAGGTTAAGCATGGAAACTGATACGATCTTTTCAATAATTAAATGCAAGCGACTATTACACGTAACAATTTTTTTTTTTTTGATACATCAAAGAAATTTACCTGTGAGAAAATAATTAAAATAATCAGCTCTGGCAGTCCAATTTCAACACATTTCGCAACCTACACAACCAAGGTGACAGTCATTATCCAGTGGAGAAAAACTGACAAACAAGCAAGCACGCAGATGCGCTCACACACACAGAGAAGTCATAGAACCTTATGATTCCATGATCCATCCAAAATGCAGGAAAAAGAATACTTACCCCAGGAAAACCAAACTCATAAAGCCCAAAGCCAGCAAGAGCAACCAAAGGAACAGCTGACAGTGGACTCAAGAACCTGAAAATGTAGATTTTACGACATTTCAATGGGGAAGTGGTCAAAACAGAGCATTCAGATTTCTCTATTACATTCCAGTCCAAGCAAACATTGGATATGGTTAATATTAAGTATGAACAAAAGGAGCTAAACCCAAAAAATGTGTGCTGCAGAAATCAGATTGGCACAGAGCAACTCAAGTCAAAGTTACTTTGAACCAATCAGAACAAGTCCAATTGAGAAGACATCTTGAATAGCTCCTGATCTGGTATTTTACGTGATGAATTCATATCATGGCAAGCTCAAAAGTCCAACCAAGCTATTTGCCTTACAAAAATGATTTAAAAATAAATAAAAAATTAAAAAATACGAGTTATCTCAGCATAGTCAAAAGAAATTTATGCATTTTTAAAATTCTGAACCAACCTGACGACATTACGCCAAAGGCCACTGAAGCCGAGGACTATCTGAAGAGCTGAAGCAACTATAAGGGCACCCTGGGTTGCACGCATTGTCTTCTTAAATTTCTGAGTAGAAAATAATAATTTTCACATAGTTAGAACTGAATATCATAAAGATAACTCTGCCTTTTGGATATGTGAATTTTCAATTTCTTTCTTTGTCTTTCCTTTCTTTTGTAGTGAGCAAATAGAGGATATCCATAATTGAATGATATATTCTTACCAAAAAAGGAAAATAGGAAAATATTGCCATCCAAACTGAATGCTCATCATTTATAAAATTTAAAAATAAAATAAAATAAATAAATAAAATAAAATAAAATAAAAACTGAATGTTCATCCCCAGTGCTTGGGTGAATATAGGAACGTTGACAAGATTACTGCATTGATCATTGATGCGAAGCCGTAATAGGATAAAAACAAAAAGTGTCGCGTTTTTCACATTCTTAACTTTCGAGTTATTAAAAAATAGTTTTCAGAAGTGCACACGTGCATAAGAACCCTGGAAGAACACATCGGGAAATAATAGTTTTGTGCATTTTTGTTTAATAATCATCACAATACACAGCTTGATGTTCCATCTAAACAACACCAGACTCAATGGGATGGAATTTAGGTTGCAAACCTCTATAGGGTCCGGATCGTTGAATCGACCAGAAAGGATGATTGAAATTGTAGGTGCAACAAATGTGTATGACCCTCCAATCACAGCAGGTAATCTAGACCCAAATAATGTTTGATGCAGTGTGTTCAACCCAGAAACAAAAAGCAGTGCCTGGATCACCTTCGCTTTCTCCTCCTGTAAGAAAGGCAAATGCGGTTGCAGTGAGATTATGACCTAATATACTTGTAACAAGACCATTTAAAAAAAAAAAAATTAGCAAGAAATGTAAGTTCACACTCTTAGGCCTTACATTGCCTCCTCCCATTTGAGGAACAAGAGCAGTGGGAATGAGAACTGTTGTGCCAAGCATCACTAAATAATGTTGAAAACCAAGAATGATAGCCTCGGCTGCATAAAAAATATGCACAAATTTGATTAATTAGGTGAACCCAGTGAAGGAAACAACGTCATGCAATTATAAATTTATGAAGTGAAAAACTCAAAGATGCTTGACTTTGACCCGAATGAGAGAGAATCTTTGCGGAATGGCTACATCATATTTATTGAAATGTCATTTGGACGACGTCTAAGAACTTAAAAGTTTTTGCATAACAACCTCAAATGCCAACAGTGAGGTTTGTATTCAATCTACTCCCATAGCACCCTCAATTAATGGGGAACACACTGACCGATGACCCTTTTTTGCATAACCTAACTCAAATGGTTGTGGTGGAATTAATTCAGATGTAATTTACTTTTGCCATAAGTTGAATGACAATCTGGAGATGGAAAGGATATATATAGTATGGAAAGGGGTCCAAGAAAAATAAAAATAAATAAATAAAATAAAAACCCCTCAAACTTGGCTTCAGCTATATCAAAAGTAAGCAGAGAGCTTGAGTTACAAGAGACATCAAACCAGATCCCAAATTCCAAACAAGCCACAAAAACACATATGAAATTGACCACTAAAACACACAGCGGACAAGTTAATCACAATATTTAGCCATATTTCCAATAAGGAGTATTTTACTCAAAAAAAAAAAGTGGCAACAAGCGAAAGAGAAATTTCAATATGCTCTCAACTTTAGAGAAAAAATCAAACACAATTAACCAACTAATAAAAAATAAAAAATAAAAAGAAGAAGAATTGCAGACTTTAAAAAACTAGATTCAGAAGAATCAGAACTCATAGCTAACTAAGACAACTTCTGTATATACTACAATAGAGATGCCAATGCTATACGAGTCAACAATAAAACTCACTAGAATATACTAAATAAGAAAAAATTAACAGTGGATGAGAGAGACTCACGCCATGGAGGAGGGCTGGTAATGCAGTAAGAAACATTGGGAAGCTGATCTTTTGGTGGATGTGGCGCTGGCTCCTCCGCCTTTGCTGCTGCTCCGCCTCCACCCATGACTTTCTCTCTCTAAGAAAACACCCCCAAAAGCCACTGAATCTCTCTAGTCACACTAGAAAACCCAGAACCTGCACAGAACCCAGATCCCAAATCTCAGAAAACCATGGAAGTGATGATGAAAATTGAAAGAAGACTCAAATTTTGTGGTACCCAGAAGCTCAATCACTAACACTCACAATATTGTAAGGACAACGCACATGTAGTACGCACTATTATTTGACTGAACTTGAAAAAATAAATAAATAAAAACCAAGAAATTGAACTGTAAGTAGTAGTAGTGTGTGTAAAGATGGTGTAATAATAATGGTAATAGTTGTAAGAAACAATAATAAAAGCAGAGAAAACCACCTTGCAACAATCTTTCAGAAGCAAAATCAAGTAGAAGCGCGTTAAAGTCAATAAATCATATAGACCCCACTCAGAAAAAAGTTCACTAAAAGGAGGAAGTGTGAGAAAAAGGAACTTTTTAGATGTGTATTGCCCAAAATCAGGGTTGGAATAGTAAAGGAACAAAGTTTGTAAAGATAAAATGAAAGGAACCTAAAGTGAAATGAAGAATGAACACCTGTCTCTCCTATATCACACACAAACAACCCCGTCTCTCTCTCTCTCTCTCTCTCTCACCCATCTCTCTCTTAATAATAATAATAATAATAAAAATAATAATCATGGATATTCTCTCTCGCTAACATTTTATTAATGATTAATTATTTTAAATTTATATGATTTGTCATTTTCCTTTCTCCCATCGAGGCACGCCACATATGGGGTAATCTAATATTTATAGGGTCAAGTGCAAAAAATACCCCTCAACTATACTTATAGGGCATATCACACCCCTCTCGTGCAAAAAACACCCCTCAAGTTTCAATTTTGTGCAATCAAGTCCCTCTAACACATTTAAAACTAAATTTGACTAAACAACCCTTAGTCAACAATTTTATAAAATATATAAAAATACAAAAATTTGTAAAAAGACCAAAAAGAACAATCCTCGTCATCAACCCCATACCCACCCACTCTCAGTCCTCACCAAACTGGTTCACTGCCAATCGCAATGGGTCGCCGTGAAAAGGGAACATAGCTTATTCTGGGTTTGTTGGGAAGAAGATGAAGTGCATAGGTAGTTGCAACCCCACGCGCATGGGTGGTGTGTGGGGCGCGTGATGCCTCTTCCGGCGACGATTGTGACCGAAAAAGGGGTGATCTAACCCAACAGGTTCATCTCCTTCCCTTCGACGACGACGTTTTGAAACCTCCGGCGTCGAAATTTGACGCAATCTAAACTGATTGATCAAGGGCTCCATATCATACACGCTTTTTGCTCGTCTTCTACACCGAGCAAAGCTACAATTTACTACGATTACTCGCAAGGCAGTGGTTTCACAGGATGGCCATGGTGGTTGGAGGTGACAGTGGCCATGGTGGTGATTGTGTATAGGAGTTTCAGAGCGTAGTGGTGGCCGTGTTTTGGGGGCCGTGGTGGCCGTGTTTTGGGGGCGATGGTGGTAGGTGAATTGGTTGATGGGTTGTTGTTGTTGATGTGGGTCTTCTTGGGTGATCAATTCATGTGATTGTTTTGTTTAATTGCTAGGCTAGAGGTAAAGAAAATGGTGCCGATCATGACGTTGATGGTGACAAAAGGTGATTAGTATCACCGTGGATGACTCAGCGGCAAGCTCGGTAGGTGGAATCTGCGGCCGACGAGCAAGGGAGGGCTCGGTTATGCAGCGGCGGTGACAGCAGACAACTACGCCTTGGGCGACGGCCTGTGGAGAGCGGTGGGCGACGATTGTGGAGATGACCCTATGGTGGTGATGATAATACTGTACTGTTTGTTTGCTTTTTTTTCTTTTTTTTTTTTACATGATAATTCAAAAGGCTCAAGCTAACAGCTACCAATTAAAAAACACTCTCGATTCTGCTTGGGAATTTAAAGTCAGAGGCAAATTGGGAACTGAGAATCTAACAAGCAGGTGGCTCAGCCTTTCTGTATATTTGTCCCAGACACCCATTTCTATTTTCTATACAGAGTTGAGCACCTCCCTGAAAAGATACTTCAAGCAGGTGGCTCAACCTTTCTATTTTCTAATTGCAAAAAAATTGTGAACCTAAGGTCATATAAGGAGGTTGAAAGAGGTAATGGTGGTTGAAGAAGAAGACGGTGGTGGGAAAGCTGACCAAATTGCAGAGAGTAGAGAGAGAAAGATGGGTATTTTCGGAAGACTAAAAGGGTAAAATAGGTATTATATGAATAATTTAGGTCAGATTTCTAACAAAGGGATAATTTTGCACAATTTCAAAAGATTAGGGATATTTATTGCACACCTTTTCAATTAGGGGGTAAAAATGCTACTAAATATATACTTGAGGGGTGTTTTCTGCACTTGCCCCAATATTTATATATATAAGTATAGTAGTGATATACACTGAAGACATTGCAGTATGATATTTGTGAGTCACGATTTTTCTAACAGAGGATATTTATTTTGGGATAAAAGGAGTAAAAAAGATAAGAGTAAACTTTAATTAAGTATTTATATATTTTGAACAACTTGCATGGTCTCGGAACTTAAGTAAAAACCTAATTCGATTTAATTTATGTTTGGCTCTTGAATTTAAATTCTAAACAAAAAATTTATAATTTAAGTTGGATTAAAATATATTTTTATTTTTTTATCTTGACAAAAAATTCATACACCCATATAAAAACTTAAACTCTCCAGTCTCGACCTATTTGTTTAGAAAATACTCTCTCTGTCTCATATTAAATGTCCACAGAGAAAGTAATAAAATACCATATGCAGTAATTTGTTAAATCTTTAAGAATCATGTTGAAACTCTTTTAAAATTTGTACTGATTGATTTTATTTTTAAAAAAACCATTTTTAGACAGATATTAAATTTTAGGGTTAATTACACCGACACCTCCTGAGGTTTATCATATTGACAGCCATATATAAGTTGGACCTTTTTTTAACAATGGCACCCCTTCAAGTTTGATAAAATTAACAAAGACACCCCATGAGTCACTTGCCACCCCTGACACCTCATGAATTGACATTGTTGTCCTTTGACTTATAAATTGACCAATATGAATAATGAAATTACATTTCTAACCTTGTATAATATATATATATACATTTCTAACCTTGATGGGTCTATATATATATATATATATATATATATAGATATATATTATACAAGGTTAGAAATGTAATTTCATTATTCATATTGGTCAATTTATAAGTCAAAGGACAACAATGTCAATTCATGAGGTGTCAGGGGTGGCAAGTGACTCATGGGGTGTCTTTATTAATTTTATCAAACTTGAAGGGGTGCAATTGTTCAAAAAAGGTCCAACTTATATATGGCTGTCAATATGATAAACCTTAGGGGGTGTCGGTGTAATTAACCCTAAAATTTAATATCTGTCTAAAAATGGTTTTTTTTTAAAATAAAATCAATCAGTACAAATTTTAAAAGAGTTTCAACATGATTCTTAAATATATATATATTTCGGAAGGTAAAAATGAAATTTAAAGCCGCTAGAAGAAGGGCTTTATTTAGAAATCTCTTCTTGTTCATTTGTGGGTTTTGGGTTTTGTCTTTATTTTTTGTTTTTCTGTTTTTATCATTTCGTTCTTGCAGGGGGTACTTATACTCTGTTTTCTGCAACAGTTTCTTTTTTAGTTCAGGTAACATTTGATGTAGATGTATTTTGCATAATTGCATGTACGTTTTAGGACTAGATGTTCTCTGTTTGACCTAATTTTTCGAAAATGATTTTGATATTGGTGCTTTTGAGAAACACGCCCTCACTGAACCCGGGTTTAGTAAAATGGCTTAGACTATAAGCTACATATCCAGGATCTTTTCAACTCCACCGAATAATATCCCAGGAGAAGAAATACAGAGAGAGACCCAAGCTCATTTCCTTTCTGATCAATTGTATATGGCAAGCTAGATTTGCCAGATTTGTCATCCACCATTTATATTGCTACAATGGAATGTATGGTACACCTTGGCAGTGATGGAATGTATGATACACCATATATTAACTAAATTCTCGCATATACAAGCATGTAATATGTGGATATCTCTACACTCTCGATCTCTCTCCAAATTTGTGTGTATATGTATGTATGTACATATATATATATATATATATATGCATATTCAGTGAATACCACCAAATCAATTATTGGAACTACCATTTGTATATTTGTGTCATTTGATAGGAAATTTCAATTTGATTGCACACTGGAAGGATTTCAATTGCGCACTCTGGAAGAATTTCAGTAATGGCTTTATCTCTATGCCTCCAAGATTGTACTTCAGACAGTGGCCATGGGGAAGGCGGCGCTGACACCATCACAACCTTCGCTCCAACCTCGAGAAGGATCCAAAAATCACAGGGATGGGTCTCGTCTCTGTCTTTGGCAACAACCTCGACACTGCGACCAGATCAAACAGTTCAAGGCGACAGATTTTTTGGTGGTTATAGCAGCAACGGTGGTAAGGGATTTAGGGGCGGAGAGGGCTAGGGATTTGGTGGTGGGTTTGAGGGAGAGGTCGTGGGTTTGGTGTTGGGTTTGTTAGGGGTACAGCTGCCATGGTGGTTGTCCGTTGCCACTATTTTTTCTGTTTTGGTGGTGATGGTGGTGTATGGGTTTGATATGGTGTTTGAGTTCTGAATATATATATAAATCTCAATAAAGAGAAGCTGATTGTTAGAGAGAGAGAGTAGAGTTAGGTTTATGATGGAGAAGGTGAGGTTAGAGATTGGGTGTGGGGGGTGGAGTGTAATGATGTAAATTAAGGGCAAAAATGTCATTTAATAATTTTGATATTTTATAATTTAAATTAATAAAATATTGAAGGGTTAATCTTGACTTTTCACATCTTTTAAGGGGCTGTTTGGATTCAATTTATGACAGGGGGTATCATTGTTCAAAAAATGTCTAACTTATACATAGCTGTCAATATGATAAATCTTAAAAAGTGTTTGTGAGTGTAATTAACTCTAAATTTTAATGCTATTGAGTTCCAATGTATCTACTTTTTTTCACTTATTTAATTTTGGTAGGTGAATGTACTTTCACTTTTGATAAAATAAGCCTTTTTATTATTATTTGAAAAGACATTGTTGTCCTTTCAATTGAAAGTGAGAATCAAATGTTCAACAAACTCAATTATTAAGAATTAGGAAAGTTTGACTATTTGATCATGAGATGTAACCTATTCAAACACAATATTGGGATGCCCAAACTAGTAGACAAAGGTGACCGACATATTCTTTAATTCATTACAGTTCAGTGACAACTAGCAGCATACAAAAACTTCCCAGTTCCCACCTCCTTGCTTAGCTAGGGTTTTGATTATATTTAGGGTTTTGATCTTTCTTCTTTTTCCTCACTATTTTTTTTTTTTTTTTTTTTTTTTTTTTTTTTTTTTTGGTTAAACCATCAACAATTGTTCCAATTGCAAAAAAAATGTTGTGTGACACAATGGACT